CAATTTGCAGATGAAACAGGCAGAGGGAGACCAGTTCCCAAAGTCACTCGGTTAATAAGTGATAGAGTACAGCTTCCAATCTGGGTAGTATGACTTTGGAGCCCCCATGACTCCTCACTGTGGTATTCTGTCTCCTGGTCCTGAAGAATTAGAGCATGGGCTGGAGAATGATGTTTAATGATTCACTCACATATTCAACACAAAAATTAAGTACCTGCTATATGCCCCAGACACTGTACCTGAGCTTGGGTAGAATGAATAAGACACAGACGCTAGCCTCAAGGAGTTTATTGACCAAATTAGCATCTTCTTTTAACTTCTCTTCCTATAGCTGGTCTGGTCTCCTTTGGGCCTCTTCAAACCCCAAACACTGGGTGGCATTTCCATCTTAAACCATGTTGCCCTGTTAGAAGCTTGAAAGAGGAGAGAACATACCAATCTATGCAACAGAAACTTGATATGGACCTTGACCTTTTGAGGAATACCAGGGGCTTCATATAAATTTACTAGGTAACAATAAGCACCTCCATGGATTTCAGTTTCCCCATTGGCAAATATCTGCTCCTTACAAATCCCAAAATTAGTTTTGAAACATACTTACCTCATTTTTAGTATCTAAGAATTTTCAAAATGGTGATGGTGAGTGATTCAACAATTGTATTAATGAGTGAGTATGTGTGTGTGTCTCCAAAAGAAATAAAATCACTATATCAGAGAGATAACTGCACTACCATGTTTATTGCAGCACTATTCATAATAGCCAAAATAGGGAATCAACCCAGGATTCCACTGATGGATGAATGGATAAAGACAATGTGATATATATACATACACACACGCGCGCACACACACACACACACACACACATACACAACGGGATGTTATTCACCCATAAAAAAGAATGGAATCCTGTAGTTTGTGACAACATGGATGAGCCCGGAAGACATTATATAGTGTGACATAAACCAGGCACAGAAGGACAAATACCCATGTTCTGATTTATATGTGGAACAGTTGACCTCATACGAGAGTAGAATGTTAATTATCAAGAGGCCAGAAAAGGTAGGAAGAAGGCAGGGATAGAAAAGGGTTAATTAATAGGTACAAAAATGCAGTTAGATAGGGGGGAGTACAGTACAGAAGGGAGAATATAGTAAACAAGGATTTATTGTAGAGGCTGGGGATGTGGCTCAAGCGGTAGCGCGCTCGCCTGGCATTCGTGCGGCCCAGGTTCGATCCTCAGCACCACGTACCAACAAAGATGTTTGTAGGTTGTTTTTAGGTTGTTCTACCAACAAAGATGTGTCTGCCAACTAAAAAATAAATATTAAAAATTCTCTCTCTCTCTCTCTCCTCTCTCACTCTCTCTTTAAAAAAAAAAAAAAAAGATCAGCTGAGGCAATTTAGCAAGACCTTCATTTAAAAAAAAAAAAAGGATTTATTGTATATTTCAAAATAGCCAGAAGAGAGGATTTTGAATATTTCCAATACAAAGATATGATAAATATTTAGGATGACATTTTTTGCTAATTATCCCTGATTTCATCATTGCACATTGTATACATATGTAGGAATATCACACTGGACCCATGAATGTGTATTATTATAACATGTCAGCTAAACATTTTAAAAAGGGATCTGGGAGTGTAGCTCAGTAGCTCAGTGATACAGCTATTTGCTCTATGCCTGAGGCCCTGGGTTTGATTGTCAGCAATGCCCACACACAAAAGTTTAAAAAAATTTAAATGATAATGGTAGCTAAATTCCTGCCATAAAGGGGCTGAAAAACTCCCGTTTACCCAGTTCCTATTGAGGAGTTGCTTGGAGAGAGGAGAGAGCCCTGTGTTCAGTTTTGCTTCTGATTTCACTGATTTTTCTCTATTCATTTTCAGTTTTATTACGTTATGCTCTTACCTTTAGTATTTCCTTTCTGTTTATTTTGGGTTTGTTTGTTTTCTTGTTTGTTCGTTTGTTCACTCATCCATCCATCCATCCATCCATTCAGTCCTGGAGATCAAACCCAAGCCTCTCCATATGCAAAGTACATGTTCTCCCACTGAGCTTATACAGCTATCCCTTATTTTGGATTTAATTCTCTTTTCTTTTTCAGTTTCTTCTTTTCTAATATAAATATTTAAAGGTATAGATTTCTCTTTCAGTACTACTTAGCAGCATCCTCAATTTTTTTTCTCCCCATTATTGGGGATGGAACCCAGGAGGACTCTGCCACTGAGCTCTACCACATCCTATTTTTATTTTGAGACAGGGTCTTGCTAAATTGTAGAGGCTGGGCTTGAACTTACAATCCTGTTGCCTTGGCTTCCTGAGTTGCTGTAATTATAGGCCTGCCCCACCACCCCTGACTCTCAATTTTTTTTTTTTTTTTTTTTTTGGTACAGGGAATTGAGCCCAGGGGCACTTAACCACAGAGCCGCATTCCTGGCCCTTTTTTGTATTTTTTTGAGACAGGGCTTGATAAATTGCCAAGGCTGGTTTGATTGGTGATATATATATATTTTTTAAATTTTTTATGTAGTGCTTGAGGATCGAACCCAGTGCCTCAAACATGCAAGGCATGCACTCTACCACTGAGCTACAGCCCCAACCCTCCAAGGCTGGTTTGAACTCACAATCCTCCTGCCTCAGCCTCCCAAGCTACTATTTAGATGTATATTCTTTTTTTTTTTTTTATAAGTGTTTGGAGAATGTCTAGATAGCTTTTTGTTATTGTTCTATCTTCAAGTTCACTGATCCTTTCTTCTGCTGTTCAGTCTGCTATAAGGCATCCAGTGAATTCTGCATTGCACATATTGAACTTTTCAGTTCCACAATTCCACTGGTTCTTTTTCATTCTTCCCATTCTTCTGTTGAGATATGTTAACACGCAATGACCATCCCCCCCACCCCTTCAGTCCTTCAGCTGCTTAAGGTCCTTTCTGCTGGTGCCAACTTCTAGGTTATCCATGGGTCTGCTTCTATAGACTATTTTTTCCTTTGGCTATGAGTTACACATTCCTATGGGTGCTTCCCCCACCCACCCCCACCCCCACCCCCATCATTTGCCTTTTAGTATTTTATTGTATCTTAGACATTGTGGATAGTATACTTTGGAGACTAGATTGTTGAGTTTCCATTTAATAGACAGTTAAATTACTAATTGATGACCTTGAACTAGAGGCTTCAAGTTTTATCCTTTGCTATTATGAGTCAGCTTTGGTTTTGCCTTAGACTCAGGGCAAATCTTTAGTTCTGGAACTAAATATAGATTTTAGCCTTATGACTTTGGAGTTTTATTTATTTTTTAATTAAATTTTTTTTATACTGGGGGTTAACTCAGGGGCATTTTACCACTGAGCTATACCTCCAGCCCTTTTTATTTTATTTATTTTGAGACAGGATCTCACTAGGATGCCCAAGCTGGCCTTGAACATTTAATCCTCCTACCATAGACTCTCAGTGGCTGGGACTGCATGTGTTGCCATCATGCACAGCTTTTATTGGAGTTTCAAATGGAAAGCCTGAAGTGTTGACCCAGTTCTTGGCAGGATTCTTTTGTTTGTTTTGGCAGTGCTAGGTATTGAACCTGGGTCCTATTGCATTCTGGGCAAGTGTTCTAACACCTCAAGTTGGAGGGATTCTAACTCAGACTTACTCTATCACAGTGGGTAGTAGTCAAAACCTCTAGTCAGCTCTTTCAGGTCTCCAGCTGTTGCCATTTGCTGAGCTCCTTGAAGTTTCCTCCATCCATAATTTGGTAATCGGCCTTTGATTTCAGGAGGATTTAATTAAATGCAAAGGCTTCCCCTTTTGTGGCTTGACCATTCTAGGAAATCTATCTTCAGTTTTCAACTTTTCTAGAGTCCCCAAATCTGTCCTCTGACTCTTCAAGCCTTAAAAGGCTGGACTTTCTGCTAGAGTTCTAGCTGTCCTATACCATAGGAACTGGGAAGTGCCCCCAAGAAAAATCTTTATTTAAGTGTAGATGGTTCCTTTAAGGGTTGAGTCCCCTCATTTCTGTGTGCTTTGTGATAGTTTAAGTGTTTTAATATAGTTGTTTTTCATGTCTTGCTGAGAGTTTATAATCTGCTACCTATGGGGGGTTCATCTAATATACTACTCTGTCATTACTAGATCATCCTTTCACTTTGAAGTGTCCCTTTTAACTTATCTGTCCATATTCTACCGGGGTGAGGAAGAAAACACATTCATAAAAGATAAAGTGTGACATTGAGTCCAAATGCACTTGGAACTTTTACAGGGGTCACATGGGCAAGCTTCCCAGAAGAAGAGGTCTTTGAGATACACTGGGGGCTGAGCAGAATTTTTAAGGAACAAATTGAGGATGAGTGTGGCAACTTGGGCTCTGCTGAGGGCAAGAGTTGACATAAATGTGTTGTGAGGACAGTGAGAAGACCAACCTCAACCTGTCTAGACAGTGGGAAAGACACTGGGTAGGTTCGATATGAAGAAATGGAAGAAGCTGGCTCAAGGATGTCCTAGTCAAGCTGCCTCTGTTCTTTCATGATTGTTTACAGCGTGCTCTCCACTCCCCACCCCTTCCTCTAGCTTGGGTCTGATTCCCATTCTCTGGAGAGGGTGATTTAGATGGGCACCTTCCATAAAAGGGCAGATGAGGTTCAGAAATCTTTAGGGATATAGCTGTGCCAGAAGCCAAAAGACAGAAGTATCTTCATTGAATATGGGTCAGCACATTCTAGGATTTAGCGAACAGCATTGACTCATGCCAGCACCCAATATAGCATATTAGGTTCTGTGACCCCAATCTTTTGTCCTCTGAAGAACACACAATTGGCTTTAGGACCACAAAGGGTTTAGGCGGGGGCTTAGAGATCTCTTAATCCCAGACTTTGTCCTTGGGAGGCTTAGGATCATTCACAGAGCCCAAAAGTGTCTTTAGAAGAGGGGTTTGATGGGGCCGGGGGGCGGGGCGGGGCATGGTGGAAGGATAATCTATAAGAGGGATCAGAGGGGGTGGGGTTCATCCCATGAACACAATGTCAGAGGAAGAAGAGTTTTTTCTGTTCAAGAACATCTCATCGGTGGGGCCCTGGGATGGGCCTCAGTACCACATTGCCCCTGTTTGGGCCTTCCACCTCCAGGCAGCTTTCTTGGGCTTTGTCTTCTTTGCAGGGACACCACTGAATGCCATAGTGCTGGTGGCCACGCTGCGCTACAAAAAATTGCGACAGCCACTCAACTACATTCTGGTCAATGTGTCCCTTGGGGGCTTCATCTACTGCATGTTCTCTGTCTTCGTTGTCTTCGTCAACAGCTGTCATGGATACTTCGTCTTTGGCCGCCATGTTTGTGCTCTGGAGGCTTTCCTGGGTTCCGCAGCAGGTACTACAGGGGAAGAGGGGTCTGGGGAGGCAAAGGACACTACTCCAGGAACTAGACTATGGGTTTGGAGCAGGCCCCCAAGTTGACTATAGACATATGACCAAAATAAAATGTTTGAGTCTTAAACTCCACTCCAAATGTATCAGGCCAATTCTCTCTCTTTGGGCTTGCTCTACCCATCTGTCTTCCACTGTACTTGCCAGGCTGGATGGGGCTCTGTCTATCCTATTCTCACATTTTGTCACAGGTCTGGTGACAGCCTGGTCACTGGCCTTCCTGGCCTTTGAACGCTACATTGTCATCTGTAAGCCCTTCGGCAACTTCCGCTTCAGTTCCAAGCACGCGCTGGTGGTGGTTCTGGCTACCTGGATCATTGGTGTTGGCGTTTCCATCCCACCCTTCTTTGGCTGGAGCCGGTGAGAGCACAGGGAAGTGGTGCTGACTTAGTTGGGGGTTCAGGTTAAAATGGGTAGAAAGAGAGATTGGGTATAACCACTTAGTCTTTGACCTGTATTTTTTTTTGGTGTAGTAGGTGAGGCAAGAGCTGTGGGAGATGAGCATCAACACTTTGCAGTTGGAATTACTGTGGCCTCTACCAGAAAATTCCTCTGCCACCAAGTACAGTGTTGAGTGCCTATAATCCCAGATTCAGGAAGCTGAGGTGGGAGGATCTAGAGTTGAGATCAGCTTGTATAACTTAGTCAGACCCTATCTAAAAAGTTAAAAAAAAAAAAAATTAAAAGGAAGAAAATTCCCCTGTCCCAAACCTGGCACTCTCTAAGTGGAGAACATAATCCAGGATTCTCAGCCCCACTCCACTGATTCTTGTGAAGAACCCAGAGTAAATGAGTTCTTGGTCCTTTGCAGGTTCATTCCTGAGGGCCTTCAGTGTTCCTGTGGTCCAGACTGGTACACTGTGGGCACCAAATACCGCAGTGAATACTACACCTGGTTCCTCTTCATCTTCTGCTTCATCTTACCTCTTGGCCTCATCTGCTTCTCCTATGCTCAGTTGCTGAGGACCCTCAGAACTGTGAGTGGTTTTTGAGAATCAGGGAGAAACAGACCAGGGGTCTCCAGGAGAGATGGAAGAGTAGGGACATGCTGTAGAACATAAGGTATCTGGAAATGTTCATGGCCAGATAACGGGTATCTATAAAGCAGTAAAGGAAGCGGTGGTGGTGGTGGGGGATATGAAATGGAACGAATAAGGGAGTATTGCTGCTTAAATTGGTGTAAAGAGATGTATGCATGTGATCCCTTCCATCACTGTAGACCAGAAAGCTACCTCCACCCTGCTGTCCTCAAGGGAGGAAAGCCAACAGAACCTGGCCAGAAGCAAGGCAATCAGAGTGAATGTTCCCAGTAGAAAAGGGTCCAGAGATCTGGGGGAAAGAGTGATGCGATGCTCTCTATGCTCTGCCCCAGGTGGCAGCTCAGCAGCAGGAGTCAGCTACAACTCAGAAGGCTGAGAGGGAGGTGAGCCGCATGGTGGTAGTGATGGTGGGATCCTTCTGTGTCTGCTACGTGCCCTATGCTGCCCTGGCCATGTACATGGTCAACAACCGCAACCATGGGCTGGACTTACGGCTCGTCACCATTCCTGCCTTCTTCTCTAAGAGCTCTTGCGTCTACAACCCCATTATCTACAGCTTCATGAATAAGCAGGTAAAGTTGTCTATCACATTCCCATAAGGTCCTGGTCCATAAAGTCACTGTTTTTTTTCCAACACCTTTTAACTCAGAATACCCTAGACCTACTCAGAGGATTTCTAGGAGTGAACAAGGGAAGCCATGGGAACCTCAAGGAGGCTAGAAAGCCCCTGGTAAGCACAGGGAGGAAGGCATGGTACTTAAGATAATAGAATCCAGGAAGGATAGAACTTGAGCCAAAAAAAAAAAAAAAAAAAAAATCAATCTACTCCCAAGAAAGGGCTCTGAAAACGTTTTGAAACCTTTCCCTTTCAAACTCTAGCATGTAGAAACAAGTGATTCTAGACTGGAATTTAGCTAGGTATCAGGATAAGAAAGACAATCAAAACCACCTGAGATATTGGGTTGTGAGAGGCTGTTGGGATACAAAAAATAAAACTTTCCCCCTATACTTCCTGATGTTATCTTCCTTTTATTCATCTGCCATGGGAACTATCTCCAATTCTGCCTTTCCCTCCAGTTCCGAGCTTGTATCATGGAGATGGTGTGTAGGAAGCCCATGACAGATGAATCTGAGGTGTCCAGCTCCCAGAAAACAGAAGTTTCCACTGTCTCTTCTAGCAAAGTTGGTCCCAACTAGGAACCCCATGTTGACCTGTTTGCAGCCAACTAGAACGTCATTTAAGTAAGTTTTCATGTTCTCCATCAAAAACCTAACTACTAACAACACAGTAAGGAGATGGGAAGGGGAATGAGGGCAGTTTTGTGAAGTCAATTTTTTATTTTTCTACTATTCCATTCCTGTCTATAAAGCTGTTTCAGCAAGGTCTACTTTAGACCACCCAAAAGCCATTTCAACAATCACCAGTTTCTACTCCTAAGAGGCACCCTTTACAGCATTTGGAGAACCATAAAAGAGCATAGCTGGTTTTTCAGAGTGTAGATAACACTTTTGTTCCTTTTGAGTGACCTTTCTCCCCCTACTGAGGATCAGTTCTGAAGTGATGTATTCTGAATTAAAGTGCTTTAGAAATATATATTATATATATATAATATATATATTTTATATATATATAATATATATATGAAATCAAAAAACAAAAACAAAAAACCCCTTGGTAGACCCCAAATGAGTGTGAGAGAACTTCCTTATGCTATCTCTGCAAGTAACTGCTATAGCTTTGGTAGGGATAACTATGTCTAGAAGCCCCTGAGCCAGGTTTATTCTTAGGTGCTTCCCCCTGCCTGCATTTGGCTAAATCAATATATGTTTTAAGCTGTGTGTTTATTAAAATAGTTTAATTACCTTGATAGTCTCAAAATTAATTTGCATATCTTATTATCCCTTATAAACTATACCAAAGTGTTTCACTTTATAGCCTCCTTCTACTCCCTGAAGAAGAGCCTTTTTGAATAAAACCCAAGATAAACGCGTATATCTATCATACAAAGAATGGTGTCTGTTGGTATCAGGTATGCAATGAGCAGCTGGGTTCCTCTCCAGTGACATGACCTACAAATAGCTCAGAAGGATTATAGCTATGAGAGAGGATACTAGGCAATTTCAGAAATAGGAGAAAAGGAGTAATCAGTTTGAGAGAAGGTAGTACTTTCTCTGAGATTGAGTGGTGTGCTGAATCTTCTAGGAGGTCCTTTTCTGTAACATAGCATCCATAATTCTAAGCTAGAGCTCCATTCCCACAAGAATGAAGGACGCATATCCACAATGAATGTAAACGGTTTTATTTAGAAACAGATAGGTACCTGTTTGCATTATAGAATATAAAACTTGGTTTACACTCTATAAAAAATAACCAATATCCAAATTTAAGAGAACTAGCACTCACAGAATACATACTGTGGGTGTAGCTACTCATCATCAGCCTCAGGTTTGATTTAAACAAACAGCCCCCCCCCCAAAAAAAAACCCACCCTCCCCCAATAAACCACAAACACTCCAAGGGGCTCATAGAGATGAGAGTACAATGCTTGCTGGCGAGTCCCCACATCCAAAAGCTGCCATCCTAGCAGATTATGGTTTGCTGTCTAAGTGCATGATTCTATGTCATGCCTGTGCTCTCTGCACCTAATAAACCTTGAGGCTCATACAGTTTATAATGTGCCCTACCTAAGCTAGGGTGGTGGCATTATTTATTATCTCTGGTGTTAATAAAAAGGGGGAATCTGGAGGTGGAGAATGTCCATTATCTATACTGGGGTTAAATGTAAAGAGTATATCCTCTATTGAGAGCTTGATGCAAAGGCCGGGGTGAAGTGACACCTGGCTCTTAACCACACCAAGCAGCTCACCTCAACAGGATTGTGGAAGACCAAGGGATATACCTAGGTTCAGATACAATCATCACTCAGCACCACCTGAATGTATTATCCAGCGATACAGAAAATAATAAAGGTTTTATATATATTTATCTTAGTAACCTGAGGGCTAAAAAGATTTGGAATAGTTCTTCTCAGAAGAGGTCCATCAGTAAGGGACTAAAGTGGACAGTTTATTATATAAAATATGGTTAAAATGGAGTTGGAAAGAGGGTGGTTTCTTCAGCTCCTTTTATAGGGTTCCTCTCTTTGATAACAATAGAATACCTGATGATCCAGGACAAACCATTTTTGTTTTTTGGCATCAGAGAGGGAGGGAATGAGGGAATGGGGTGTGATGGTCAAAGGCAGGAGGAGTGAGCAATGGTCCTCAAACCAAAGAGTCCCCTATCTGCAGGTCCTCCTACCCTTGAGTCTGAGCTCAAGCTCTAGGGTGGACACAGAGAGGCCTGGTAGTGAGTGGTTTGCATTCCAAGGTATGAGGATCCCTGGTAAAGTCAGCAGCACCTGGTTTTTGGAAACCAGCCCACAAGATAAGAACACTGCAACCAAGCTTGTAACTAATACTGCTATTTAACTATCATCCAAAAGAGAAAAGGGGAAGAAATCCCCACTACATTGGGAGGGTTTAAGCTTTCATATAAGATGGTCTAAATAATCTCTTCATTTGATCTTAGGGTTTCTTAAGCAAATTCCCATTCAATGATCGTAACTTGTTAAAGGCACTTTTTATGACATGATCGGAAAGGATTTTTTTTTTTTTTTTGGTACTGGGAATTGAACCCAGGATGCTCTATGACTGAGTTACATTCAGCCCTTTTTATTTTTTATTTTGAGACAGGGTCTTGCTAAGTTGCTGAGGCTGGCCTCAAACTTGAGATCTTCTTGCCTCAGCCTCCCAAGTTGCTGGGATTACAGGCATGTGACACCATGCCGGCAAGGAGTGAATTTTAACTGCAATGACATCAAGATTAATTCCTGGGGAAGAAGAGCCTCCTGGAGAACTTAAAGTGATTTCAACAGGCAAATAATGTTGTTGTGAGCATTTCAACAGATGCACACCCAGAAAAAAATGTATGCCCTGAACACACTTATATTGTTCCTTTAGTTTTCCAGCTGTTTCTAGCTGGAAACTGCTCTATAAAAAGCTAGAATTAACTCTGTAAAGAGACTGCACTCACTACTTGATTGATTTTTCAAGACACTGGCCCTAACTTCCTATCACAGCTGTGCTTGACAAAATTAGCAAGTAACTAGTTCTACAGGGGAAAAAAGAATAAAGTCAAGTTGAGTCAAGCTTTCTTAGAGCACAGGGATTCTGTCCCTGACCAGAAATGGCAGGACCAATTGCTGAACCCATAGCAACTGAATGCAATATGAAATGTCAGTACTACATGTGAAATGTAAGACTTTTCATAGGCAAGATTAAGTGTTCTCTCTAAATATAAATCATGGAGCATATAATTTTCCTTGCTTTTCTCAACACTTCTTATTGATCTCAGGCTTAAAATATTAGTTAAATGAGAATTATAAAAATTATAAGGGGTTGAGAAAGAGTAAAGGGCTAATTTTTGCCTACAAGTGTGGGTTGAGGATCTTGATCCTTCATATCATACTCCCAACTAGAGAACAAATACAAAAATAAACACACCATGTTATACATTATACAAAGTGTAAATCTACAAACACAAGTGTACTAATTAGAGTTGTTCCTCAGAAGCAGTTCCCTCCAGTCCCTTAGAGAGGAGGAGGAATGGGGACGGGATGATTTTCATTATTTCATACGCCTTTTCATGTCTTAAAAAGTTTGTAATAACAGTCTCAGTAGCGCAAACAATTTCATGTGAAAACAAAAGCTGTAAAAATAAATTACTTTTGAAGAAACACGGGTTCCTCTGTCTGCAGCTCAGAATTCATCATGTCGTACTAAGGCCTCCCCAAAATCTGTGGCCTGGCTGCCCACAAACAAATCATACTTGTCAACAATCTCCTCCTTAGTAAGCTTGCCATCCTGAAATCAGAGAAAGCAGTGAGTTGAGGCAGAATATTTCCTATTCCAAATACAGAAATACTACTAGAGAACATGGGTTATTCAGGATTTAATTAAATGTGAATTCAACCTAAATCTTTCTTCCATATATACACAGAGGGAGAAAATAACAATGAATATGTTTCTCTTATTAAGAAAGTTAAAACTGAAAGGGTGGTGATTAATATAGCTCAAAAGTTCCAAGACTGAGGAGCAAACTGTTAACATGTAAAACATCTGTTAGATATGGGCAAGAGATGGCCAATAACAAATGAACAATACTTCAGAGTGAATCAATCAAGTTGCTATCTAATAGGAACAATGAAGTCTGCCAGTATCAAATCTAGCCTGCACCTCCTTCTGTCCTTGCCATCAACCAGATTAGATACACCCAAACAAAGACTGACACACACCTCAAACAGTATTAAGATTCCCAAGGGACAACTGCTCATATTTCCTTCCCTCATGTAGCTAAGACAAGGCAGTTGGCAACTGAAGTGACTGAGTAAGAACTCAAAACAGAACAACCTTAAAAGGTTTCTAAGATTCTGCATCTGAAACTGAAGATTAGCCTAGATAATACAATGTTCAAAATAACAGAAATCCCCATCTTTAGACTTTTAGTTTATTTTAACCACAATACTCAAATCTCTGTCAAAAGTGACAGAGTATAGTGATAACACTATTCTTTTTTCTTTAGTTGTAGTTGGACACAATAACTTTATTTTATTTATTTATTTTTATATGCTGCTGAGGATAAAACCCAGTGTCTTGCCCGTGCTAGGCGAGCACTCTACCACTGAGCCACAACCCCAACCTATTAACACTATTCTTAATGAACTGTATATCTCAGATAATCGATCAAGGACAATTTTAATAGATTCCAAGGAAAAGCTGATTTATAACTCTCTATTAAAAAAAAAATTTAAAGTACATTTAAGAAGGAAATAACCAGCAGGCAGAATGAGTAATAGGTTAAAGAAAAAAAAAAAAAAAAAAGAACAAAGGAAGTAACAAAGCAAAAAAATAAAAAGAAAATTTCCTGAGTATCCAAAGATAATAAGTGATGCACGCTGTGTGGAGGCAGGCTACACAGAGGCTCTTTTATGCAGCCCAGGTTCCTCCAACACCTTGAACACTGGGCAGAGATGACTAAAATGAGACCAGAGAGCAAGTGTTGCCTTCAAAGTTTTCAACTGCCAAATTTAAATCCTAAGCAGACACATTAATTAAGATCTTAAATGCTCTATGTATCTTGACAAAAAAAATTTTAGGCAATTTTTTTAGTCTGTTTTCCTTAGAAACAGACTCATATTACTAGGCTACTTTGGCCTGTTCAGACTTACCTTATTTTGGTCTGACTCATAGACTAGGTGCCTAGCTTCTGCCTCTGCATGGTCATAGTCTGAGGGGAGTATCCAGTCTTTGGTTTCTTCCTTGTCCATCTTCCCATCACGGTTCTTATCTCGAAATTCAACAAACTGCTCTCGCTCTGTCTTCACCCATTCTGGCTCATCTGCATTTCCATCATGGCTGTACATGTCACCTGTGTGCACAGAAATACATACAAAAAAAAGTTTGTCTTTTTCCAAAGACTGCCTCATGCTAATTTGGTCTAACCCTTCTTCATCTGTTTTCAACCGAACAGCAATTTATATTGGTACTTCAGGCCAGAACCCTTAGAAAGAAGCTTATTTTCCTGAGATTAATTAATAATCTCGCAAAAAGACCATTTCCAACTATTGACTTTGAGTTACACAAAAGAAAAGAGACGCCTTATTATCTTAAGATATACAGAAATAAGATGAGTTGATCAGCACCATGACAGGTGGACTAGTTATTCCCAACATTTTATTTTGACATATGGTAGCTACTTAAATTGGACCACTGGTATAAAAAGCACAGTTTTAAATTCTCTGGGAAACTTAGAAATGTTATGTCATAAGCCAAAACAAACTACCAAACCAATTAATCAACTCCTACATAAAATGCATTATACCAGTGGTCTTTAGTCAGGGCAACATGCCCCTGGGTAAATAGGAACACTGTCAAGGAGTACACAGGAAAGGACCAGACAGGAAAGAATCAAATTTCATGTCCTGAACTTTCAGTTTCCCTAAAAAGCTTATCTGCAGAATATAGCTCTGGCCCTCAAGGCTTCTTTCCTGTCTCCCCTTTACCATTATCCTTTCTCACTGTATACAAGAGAGGCATATTCTCTCAGCCATTGTGAAACTTTACAATGTAAAAAGCTCCACTCCACGATGATGAAAAAAGTGCCAATTAGAAACATTAGTGTTGGTATTAAGAAAGATGTTTGAAAAATGCATAACAAATGTTAAAGACTTTGCTTAAAAAAAAAACCAAAAACCTGAAAAGAGGTTTTAATTGAGTTTTAGCCATGGGATTATTAAAAATAATTTTTGATGACAGAACAATTGATTTTTTTCATATAAGTCAAAAGGTATTCCAAAAACTAAATGATACTGCTATAAAAATATTCCATTCCCATCAACTTATATAAATAAGGTCTCTTAGTATCTATTCTTCAAAAAAATAAAATTAGGAGTTAGTGTTGAATTATTTTACTTTAATGGGAAGTAACTGCCATCTATAAATACAAAACTACTAGGAAAAAAGGTAGCAAAGAGATACATTGTTGTTTAATATGAACATGTTTGTAGTAAATGTTATTTTGTCTGTTTCTTAATAATTGTAACAGTAAATGAACCTAGAAAAGACTTAAAAACATTTAAAAACAACACTTAAACATACTTAAGAGCTTAGGAAACAAGTATTTGTATATATAGAATACACTTGCATAACTACGTAAAGGTGATTTAAGGCTTTTAGATACTTCTGTGGGGAAAGTAAATTAAAAATAGAATTAAGAAAGGAGACAGTATAAAAAATAGTAGAGAATTGCTAATTCAAGACAATACTATTTCTTGTCAGTTTTGTCATCAGTAAATGAGAAAAAGATCCCCAAATGCCTACAAAATTAAACAAACAATTGTAACCAAGCAATGGTCACACTATTACCAACTGAATGCTATTATTTAAAATAATACATTACCAAAAAACTATTTCATTTTAATTGTTCTTAAATGAAGACATAGCAGCTAACATTTATTGAGTAGCTTATTGATTTCTAGGCATTATAATAAACATTCTACTTATACTATCACTTTATCTCCCTGAATTATTTTAGGACAAATCCCAGGTAATCCCTCACACTATGTATTTTAGAATATATCTGTTATGTTTTATAAAATCAATTTCTTCATATAATCTTAATACCCAGTCCAAATTTGAACTTTCTGATTCTTTTTTTAAAGTTGGTTTGTCCAAGCTGGCCATGGTGGCACATGCCTGTAATCCCAGCCTCTCAGGCTAAGGCAGGAGGATTGCCAAGTTTGAGGCTAGCTCCAGCAATTTGGCAAAGCCCTAAGCAACTCAATGAGACCATATATCAATGTGAAAAATACAGAGGGCTAGGGATGTAGCTTAGTGTTAAAGAGCCCTTGAGTTTAACCTCCAGTGACAACAAAATCACAAAAAAGCAAAAACAAAAATAAAGTTTGTTCAAATTATTCACATGAATGATGAGTAGGAAGTAGCTATGGTGTTTACTTTTAATTTATCAAATTTTAGAGATATATTTCAGAACTAAGATACTTCATACTATATCTAATTAAATGCACCTGCATCTCATGTAAGACATGGGAGCAAACCTAAAAAGGATAAACAGTTTCTGGAAACTCTAAGCAAAGGAGTTAGTCAGTACTGTCATTTTCTAAAACCTGGGGATTAAGAGCAGATTCACTCACTTCCTCTGACTTTATCTCAAGAAGTTCTTCAGAATTTCAACCTTGCCAAATTCTCCAGGCTATTATAGTATATTCAGAAAATGTATTTATATGAGGTTCAGAAGCCAGGGTCCTGTACCAATTACTCAAGGGTCAAGAAGACTTATTTACAGTATACAGATTGGAAAGTTCAGAATTAGAGAGGGAATGGAAATATGTTTAAAATACATAGTTTTCCCAAAGCCCAAAAAGTTTTGATAAGCAGATGCTGATCCATAGTGTGTGTGTGTGTGGGGGGGGGAGGTGAGGGGTGTAGGGAAGATGAAGGAACTTTGGATTCTGCAGAGGGGAGTGAGGGGAGGGATGGGGCTGTGGGGAGGGGAAGGGTGGTAAAATGAGACAGGCATTACAGCCCTATATATATGTATGATTACACTATTGGTGTGACTCTATACCACATACAACCAGAGGAATGAGAAGTTGTGCTCCAATTGTGTACAATGTGTCAAAATGCATTCTACTGTCATGTATATAACTACTTAGAACAAATTTTAAAATATATATATTATTTTCATAGAAGCTAGAAAATACAATATAAGGCTGGGGATATAGCTCAGTTGGTAGAGTGCTTCCCTTACATGCACAAGGCCCTGGGTTTAATCCCTACCACCACCACCGAAAAAAAGAAAAGGAAAAAGAACCCAATATAATGAGCATTTTAGGGGTAGATGAGTAAAGACGTAAAAAATATTATTTGAATTCTACTTAAAAAGGATTTAATCTGGGGCTGGGGATGTGGCTCAAGTGGTAGCGCGCTCGCCTGGCATGCGTGCGGCCCAGGTTCGATCCTCAGCACCACATACAAACAAAGATGTTGTGTCTGCCGAAAACTAAAAAATAAAAGTTAAAAATTCTTAAAAAAAAAAAAGGATTTAATCCTTGGATAATATTAAGAATCAGAAACATTTTGGTTGAGATTAAGAAGTTTTTAGAAATACACACTTATTTTAGAGATGCATAACCAAATGTTTAATAGATGAAATGAGACAATGATTAGGATTTACTTCAAAATAAGAAAGGAAGCCAGGGACTGGGGTTGTGGCTCAATGTTTTATGTCCAGCACCTCATTAAAAAAAAAAAAAAAAACAAACCCGAAATCAACAAATAAAGGTATTGTGTTCATCTAAAACTAAAAATATTTTAAAAAGAATGATGGCTTCTTTACCAGTTCTGCCTTCCTTCCTTCCATTTATTTTTTTTAAAAAAGAAGGAAGCCGGGTGTGGTAGTATATGCAATTTGGAGGCTGAGGCAGGAGGATTGCACATTCAAAACCAGTCTTAGCAATTTAACAAGGCCCTAAGCAACTTAGAGAGACTCCAGCTCAAAAAATACAAAGGGCTGGAGCTGTGACTCAGTGTTAAACATCCCTGTGTTCAATGCCAGGTACAAAAACAAAACAAAACAAACAAAAAAAAGGGGAAGAAGTGAATGTGGCAGAGGGTTGATGGTTGTTGAGGCATAGGGGTCATTATATTCTTCTAATTTTGTGCATGTTTACAATACTCTGTAATAAATTGAAAAAAACAAAAGAACTAAACAGCATAACTCTGAGGCCTCTTATTAATGCTACTTGTAAGAGGCAAACAACTTTGCTTCTTTATGATCTTTTTCCTCAACAGGACAGAAACTGGCACAGCCCTAGAAACTACAAAATGTATTGGAGAGACTTTAAGATTTATAGAGACCAACACCCCAGGTGTAAAAGTGTCTCCATTAGTTACTGACTTATAAAAGGAAGTAACACACAGATGTGCACACATACTTGATAGTTCTGGTAGTTTCAAGATATAATCCCTGTGATTTTAATCTATTATGATGCAGAAAACAGAAGTATCTCCTTATGTGGCAGAAAACAGAAACATCTCCTCATGTGGCTTCAATGCTTGGCAAGTGATAATAGTGATAAATCTAAACCTAAACAATGATGATAAAATGGCAAAAGAATGAAAAAAAAAACATTTAAAAGTAGAAAATCCTATAAATGTCAACATGGACTCAGAAAACACACTCAGACATTTATCCACTATCCTGATGAACTCCAATTAAAAAAAAAAACAAACTTTGGTGGGGGTAGCTATTTTCATTGCTCATCCCTCTTTCTCTAGTAGGTATGATTAGACAATATCTAAGTAGAGACTGTTCAATGCAGCTTAATGACAGGTGATAGAAGTAGGTCTTTAGTCTCCCTTACAGACTTAAAATAAGTATTTCAGGTAAAGATAAGAGATCTAAAAATAAAGCAGTGGTTCACTAGAATAAGTTATTATAAGCAAAAATAAAATGTGAAATATCAACAGAACAGAGAACTCAGAAATCTACACATCTATAGTCAAGTGATTTTTTTTCAATGTTGAGGATTGAACAGGGCCTCATGCATGCTATGCAAGTGCTCTTCCACTGAGTTACATCCCCAGTCTCTAGAGCCAATTGATTTTTAAAAAATATTTTTTTAAATTGTAGATGGACACAATTTTATTTAGTTTTTCTTAATGTAGTGCTGAGAATCAAGCCTAGTGCCTTGCACATGCTAGGCAAGTGCTCTACCACTGAGCCAAAATGATTTTTGATAAAGGTGCCAAAACCATACATCAGAGAAAGGACAGCCTCTATAATAAATGGTGCAGAGGAAATTGAATATCCATATTCAGAAGACCAAAACTTGACCCTCATCTCCTACCACATACAGAAATCAACTCAAAATGGACTGAAGACCTAAATGTAAAACCTGAAACTTTAAGAAGTACTAGAAGAAGACAGAGAGGAAACATTTTTTTTAAATATTTATTTTTTAGTTGGACACAATATCTTTATTTATTTATTTTTATGTGGTGCTGAGGATCGAACCCAGGGCCTCGCATGTGCTAGGCGAGGGCTCTACTGCTGAGCCACAACCCCAGCAGAGAGGAAACATTTTTAAGACATCAATATAGGCAGTGATATTCTGGATAAGACCCCCAAAACCAAAAACCCAGGAAACAAAAGTAAAAACAGACAAATGAGATTATATTAAACTAATAAGCTTCAGTATATTAAACAATGAAGTGAAGAGAAAACAAGCAGAATGGGAAAAAAATGTCAACTATTCATCTGATAAGGGGTTAATATCTAGAATATATAAGAAACTCAACAGCAAAATAAACAAACAACAAATAACCCAATTAAAATGTGGGCAAATGATATTTCTCAGAAGACATACAAATGGCCAAGCATGTGTGTGTGTGTGTGTGTGTGTGTGGTATAAATAAAATGCTCAACATCACTCACTAATCATCAGGGAAATGAAAACCAAAAATTATAATGAGGTACCACCCTAGTTAAAATGGCTATCAGAAAAATAGACAAAAAAACCAACAAATGTTAGAGAGGATGTGGAGAAAGGAGAACTCTTATACACTGTTGATCAGAATGTATATTAGCACAGCCATTACAGAAAACAGTATGGAGATGGGGCTCAAGGTTAAGCACCCCTGAGTTCAGTCCCCAGTACCATGGTACTAAAAAAGAAAACAATATGGAGTCCTCAAAACAACAACAAAACCTAACTAAAGACACATGGATCCACTCATTTCACTACTGGTTGTATGTCCAAAGAAAATGAAATCAGTATATCAAAGAGATAGCTGTGGGCTGGGGTTGTAGCTCAATGGTAGAGTACTTGCCTAGCATATGTGAGAAGCACTAGGTTCTCTCCTCAGCATCACATAAAAAAATTAAATAAAGGTTAAAAAAAAATAGACACCGGCATCCCCATATTTTTGCAGCAATATTCACAATAGCCAGGATAGGCAATAATCAACTAAGGTATGCACTGATGGCTGAATAAAGAAAATGTGGTGTATATACACACAATGGAATGTTATTTAGCCAAAATAATAATAATAAAATCTCTCATATCCAGCAACACAGGTGAAACTAGAGGACATTTATATGTTACGTGAAATAAATCAGGCACAGGAAGAAAAAAACGGGGGAGGTTGGGTTGTGGCTCAGCAGTAGAGCACTTGCCTACTGTGTGCATTGCCCTGGGTTTGATCTTCAGCACCACATAAAAATATACAAATAAAACAAAGGTACTGTGTCCAACTACAACTAAAAAATAAATATTAAAAAAGAGAGAGAGAAACAGCATATTCTTTTCCTAGAAGGAAGTTAAAGAAGTTGATTTGATAGAAGAAGACAGTGATTGTTAAAGGTTAGAAAGAGTAGGGGGAAGGTAGATAAAGGGAGGCTGGATAATGGACACCAAAAGATAAGTCAGACAGGAGAAATAAGTTATAGTGTTCTATAGCACTATAGAAAATTACAGTTTACAACAATTTATTATTTATACTTATAGAACCAAAAGAGAGGAATTCAATGGTTCCCAACACAAAGAAATAAAAATGTTTAGGAAAGGCTAACTACACTGTTTGCTCGTTATACTTTGTATACCTATACCTCATCATACTGTATATTGTCATACTTACCTCATCAACATGTACAATCATTATATATAAATTAAAAATTAAAAGGATGCTCAGTGATAAAGTGCTTGCCTAGCCTGGGTGAGGCATTGGGTTCAATCCAAAGTACCACCAAAAACAAACAAACAAAGAATAAAGATGTGAAGTATAAAAATATCTAATATGTTTCAAAATAGAACAACATTTGTAACAAGGACATTTAGTAATTGTGAAATAGTTTATTCAACTACTTGGTAAGACAAGTAGCTCTTTTTTTAAAAGCCACAGGAAAATCTTCAAATCATTCTGATAAAAAAGAACCAGAGCTTTACTTGGAAGAAATTAGCCCCAATGACGGAGTATCCTGCCCCCAAGAAAATTAACAGATAACCAAAAAGGAAAATGGAAACAGAAAACCAAAACAGAAAAATAACCCTAAACAAAAAGAAAACTAGTGCCAGACAGAAAACATGAATACAACATAATGAAAAGACAAGGTTATTAGAGAGCTGATCCCTCAAATAACCAGCTCTTTTAATCTACTCCCCAGTTCTTCTTCCTGAGTTTTTGAATGCCTCTCTGAGCTCCCTGTAACTATTTACTATCAATTCATCAGGGCATCTGGGATACTCTATTATCTGTGCTGCAGAAGATTGTAAGCGCTAGCTACATGTAGGTATCAAATCCTTGAAATGTGACTAGTCCACACTGGCATGTGCTATACATAAGTGTTAAAAAAATTTTTTTTTTTAGTTTTTTTGTGGTACCAGGGATTGAACCGAGGGGCACTCAATCACTGAGCCACATCCCCACCCCTCCCCCTCTTTTGGGAGGGGTACCAGGGATGGAACTCAGGGGCACTCAACCACTGAGCCATATCCCCAGCCCTATTCTGTACTTTAAGAGACAGGGTCTTGCTGAATTGCTATCACCTCACTTTTTGCTGAGGTTAGCTTTGAACTTATCCTGAGCCGCTGGAATTACAGACTCAACAATTTATATTAATAAGGGGAAATTATAGTATTTTGAAATATCAAATGCAATCTTGAAATTAATCTCATCTTCTTCTTTTTACTTTTTTTGGGGGGGAGGCACCAAGGACTGAACCCAGGGGCACTTAGCCACTGAATCATATCCCCAGCCCTTCTTTTTACTTATTAATGTAGCTATTAAAAAATAGAAATTACATATGTGGGTCACATTTCCATTTTGATTGGTTAGTGCTACTACAGATAGTTTACCACAACCCACTATTCATAACACTGGTATGGTTTAATGATCTCTGAAGAGCTGAATCATGGGAAAAATTGTTTCTATGGGTGATTACATCTCCCCAAATGTCTCAGCTTTTTCTAAGGAAAAAACACTTGAAAAAGAAACTTACCAATATACTCTTCTAGATCAATGAAACCATCGGCATTTTTATCTATATCCTCCATTGTTTCCTAAAACAGAAAAAAATGAATTTCAAGAAGAGTATGATGTATCTGTACGTTTAAAACCATAGGAAAGTGATGTTTTTCTAGCTAGAAAATGGTAAAATATTAGTGTCTCTGAGTTATAACATCCCCAGTCCTTTTTTAATTTTGAGATAGGATCTTGCTAAGTTACTGAGACTGGCCTCCAACTTGCAATCATCCTGCCTCAGTCTCCCCAGTCACTGAGATCACAAGGCCAAATATTGGCAATTTCTTATGCATTAACCTAAAATAACTATATGAGTCTTCCTAAAATAACTATGAGTTTTCTTGAAAGAACACTGACACTGCTTAAAGATGGTAGCTCTTGTCATGCTAATAGGAGATGTGACCATTAATTATGTCTACATCTATAGGAAGTCTATGTTATCAGTAATTGCATTCTGTGAAAATTCTTCAACATCACTGCTATTAGTTTCTGGTAATTGATCGGGGGATATTTTTTTAAAAAGGATTTTCCTACCAATGAAATGGCAAAATACATCATTTGATGTCAAGTCATGTCATGACAAACAGAAAGCCTAAGGCACTTAGGAAAAAACCATGACAGAGCCAGGCACTGTAGCAATTGCCTGAATTCCCAGTTACTCAGAAGGCTGAGGCAGGAGGACCACAACTAAGCAAAACCCTGTCTCAAAATAAAAAATTAAAAGGGCTGGGAATGTAGCTCAGTTTAGAATACCCCTGGGTTCATCTCCACTATGGATAGTTGGATGGATGGATGGATGGATGCATAGTAGGCAGAAGGCAGGCAGTGACAGAACCTGGACTCTGAATCCAGCCAGTACTTGAAAAACTAGTCATTCTTCCAAAATTACAGGAAAGGTTCAAGAGAAACTGAATTCCTGTTCAGAACCCCGATCTCACCCACCTGCACTACTATGTCTTTCATATAGTCATATTCCTCAGGGTGCAGGAAAGCTGTGAACTCTTCCTTTGTGGCAATGAGGTCTCCATCCTTGTCTGCCATCTTAAACCTCCGCTCATCTCTAACCATCATCTGTTTATAGTTAAATCCATCATCAGGGTCTGGATCATCTAGAAAACAAACATTTAGGTCAAATATGGAAAGAAAATACAAAAATATATAGTATGGACAATCAATTTCCAAGAAATAAAAAACCAAACGATGAAGAAATAATTCTTGATTATACAGGCAGCAGCCTAAAGACATACAATTTTGGGATGAAGCTCCAGTAATCAATCATATCTCAGTCAGGTCCAAATTGAAGTAAATGTCTGCCAATCAACATGGAACTCTGTCTCCTGGGTTACTTAACTCAACATGTAATGTTTCATTGTTATTGATGTTAAGGCTTGAATTTCCTAGTTATATATGGAAGGCAGTGGTGGTTCTAATGCCATACTGAGTTTGAAGTCTACCATCCCTAGCTGTGTGGCCCTGGGCGAATAACTTAATTGTGTCTCAGTCTCATCTGTAAAATGAGGATAATAATGATGCCTGCCTCACTGGGTTGTTATGAGGTTCAAGTGAGAACCAGCAACAACAGAACTAAGTCAAGCACTTAGAACAATGCCTGGCATATAGTTGGCATTCAATAAATGTCAATTATTGTTATTTTTATTAAACATTAATAAGATAGATATCAAAGACCTTCAGCCTCATTTTAAAGACATTTGGAGTTAAGCAACAGAACATCACCTCTTTAAGAGGTTACATTTTACCTATCATGAGTTACATGTATTATTTATCTTACACTTACATGAAATTCTAGAAAATACAAACTAACCTAGAGTTACAGAGAGTAGGTCAGTGGTTGCTTAGGGACAGGAATATATGGAAAGTAAGATATGAGAAAATTTTTTTGGGAGGGAGAGGTGATAGATATGCTCACTATATTGACTGTAGTGATGGTTTCACTGGTGTATACATATATCAAGACTCATTAATTGTGCATTTTAATATGCAATTGTGCATTGCTTAGGCTGTTATTTAAAAATAGACATTAGATTACAACTGAATTTAGTCCTATTTGTTATAATGTTTAACCACACAAGTAGCAGATACTATAAGAATCTAGAAGAATAAAATTTAATTTCCATAAGCTGAAAAAATGGCAAAGGAGTTAACCACAAAAAATAAAAAAGTTATTGAGTTACTGTATAAACCAAATAAGATAGCAGATGTGAAGATACTTTGAAAAGACACCACGTTAAAGGTAAGAAATTATTGTTCCTGTAATATATAGATTAAATAAAAAGGGCACTTTTTTTTTTTAAGACCTACAGGGCCCCTTTAACAGAAAGATCATACCACTGACCTCTGATATTGCAGTTCAATCTTTTCATATTTTAAGCATAGTTTAAAAAACAAAACCAAAAACGGATCTATTTTGAGAGCCAAGCAGCTTGAAGCTTCTTTCTTTGTTGAGTGTCAAAAATATAATGAGACAGCTTATTGCCTCATAAGGCTTTGAGACTCTATATTTGAATACTGAAAGCCAGAACAGGAGGGAGATGCAGAATTTATGGAAAATACCATCTTTCTCAGATACTAAGTCATTTCTTCTAAACAAATACCAAATTGCAGTACCAACTATGTATCAGAAAGAAGATAAGAGAAAAAGTCACTTCACATTTCCAGATTAGATTCTCAGCTAAAAGCCCTCCTCCCCTACTCTGGGATAAAACGTGGTGACTAGCATCAAACAACCTAATAGCAACATGTACATATAAAAGAGTGGAAAAGGATGCAATGCATTATTTTTTAAAATATTTTTTAAGTTGTAGATGGACATAATATGTTTATTTATTCATTTATATGTGGTACTGACACTTAAACCCAGGGCCTCACTCGTGCTAGGCGAGCGTTCTGCCACTGAGCCACAACTCCAGCCCCGCAATGCATTATTTTTAAAGATGAAATTTATACACCTACAGTCCTGCTTGGGCTTCTATACTTATCCTAAGCACCATTTTATAGACTTTCCTGGCCTGTACACAGCCTCTGGTTGGCCATTTAATCTAATTTTGGTATAGGCAGAGAGGATTTTAGTATTTGGTATTTTACTTGGGGTACAGACAATATTAACATTCCTTTTGTGAAGAGTAGATTAATTGAAACAGATTTTAACAGCCAAGACTGAATTGAGAACACATTTTCACAAAAACTCTCCAGCACTTTTCTAATCCAACTCATTACCCACTGAGGGCTATTTCCCCACAGGCTTCCTGGGAAAGATGCCTTATAAAGACATTGCTTCTCCAGTCAGTGCTTCAGCTTGTGAACAGTTTCAGGCAGTAGGAATACCCATTACATTGAATCATCTGCCCTGTGAGGCAACAGAGCTCTCAACAGATTTTTATGCACATAATCATACACAGTTGAAGCAGCATTCTGGGCAGCATTTTTGTGTCTAGGTCTGAGCTAAGATTTATTAATGTACCATTTTGTTTACATCACCAATAGTCTACCCTTTGCTTTATATTTATAATTAATTCTAAAAAGTCAAGAGGGTGTTGGGCCTCAGCCAGAAAATAAGAAACACAGGATGACTCTCCATTTGTGCTGGCTTTTTAATACACATGTTCTTTATTGAATGAATGATATGTTTGGTTCTTGGCTAAATGTCAAGTATTGAGAGAGAGATTACCACTTTGGTCTTAGGAATGAGAACAAGCCCTACACAGAAATAAAAGTCTCTTCACCAGAAATGTATGCACTCTTGTAATTAACATGGACAGCTGGCTATCTTGTGGGGAAACAGATCTTTATATATACACTACTAGTCAGTGGTGGAGAATGCTTCCTTTAACTTAATTTTGCCTAATTTCCAGGATAAAAATGCAAAAATGCCATTTATATATTTTTGTCACAAATGGTAACCATGTATAATAGAGGAATCTCATAAATAACACCCTAGATCATCAAATCCATAAGACTGCCACCTAACTATTCCATAGCAGGCAAGTATAGAAATGCCAAAATCAAAGAAAATTACTAACAGGTGGCCCAAAGAAGCAAAAAAAGCTACCAAATCAACAGAAAGCAATCAAATAACATTTATCTGCCTTGGAGCATTTGCAAAGCAGGCTGATAAACTCATGTGCCAGAGAAAACAAATGGGAAATCTTTATTTCTAAACTTCAGTAAGCAGATATACTGAAGCAGTTAAATTTTATCAAGGGAAGCTGTTTTATTTGTATTTTATTTTAAGAAAAGCAGTGATTTTCTTCCTCTTCTCCCCAATTATAAAGGAATCTAATTTGGTTTGAATTTCAGGTCCACCATCTTTGTGTGACTGGATTAAGAGACATCCAAAGGTCTCTTGCTTTTCATCATTGGAACAATGCAGCCTTTTAAATGAGATCTACTCCAAAAATTGTTCTTATGAGGGATGATAGAAAAAAATGGTAAAATATTTGCAATGCTAATGATGTAGAAGATGCTAGACTTCAGAAAACCACAATTAAGCAAATTTAAAAATACATAATATACAAATTTAAAATTAATAAGATGCAAGGAAATCAGTTCAGTATTGAATTATTTAGGATAGGCACAATTTCTTCCTTTCCTTTACTGTGTGACCCATTTGTTTCTTTGACTCAAGACCATTGTCTCGGCCAAGCTGACATCTTGCCCCTTACCCAGGTACGTGCCATAAGTCACGTTTCTGTACTCATCCCAGGAGATTAAGCCGTCTTGATTCATATCAAACTCCTGCCATTGGTTTTCAACATTGTCATATATGTATTTCTTCTGGGCGTGTTTAATCCAGGTTTTCAGCTCCCCCTCCGTCACAAACCCATCTTTATCCGCGTCTATTTTATCTACAATCATTCTACAAGACAAAATAGTTACGTTTCAAGGTGCCGGCTCCACAAGACTTTTTCCCCCAGATAGTAGGGACCTACCTAAAACGTAGCCGTAGGTGGCATTTTTATACTCTTCCCAGGAAACGAGGCCGTCCTCATTGAGGTCATGCCCCTTCCACTGTCGCTCTACATCCTCGTAAATCCAGCGCTTTTGTGCAAATTTAATCCAGTCTTTGAGTTCATCCACAGTGACAAACCCGTCCTTGTCGCCATCTATTTTACTTACAATCTTTCTGTAGAAAATGCAGAGAAATCCAGCAAGAGGTTAAAAGGACACAAGGCTCTGGAAATAGCCAGGTGTGTGCTGTGACCATAGGTGTTATCCAGGGCTAACACAAAGAAATAAAAAAAATTGTCTCTGAAACAAAACTGCCAGACAGGCAACTGAAAATTTTTCTCTTAAGTGGCCCATTCTTGCCTATAGTGAGCCATCTGGTTAAGATAAATACAAGCTGTAGCTTGTGTGCTGAGACCAAAAGCAAACCCAGTCTAACTCTTTGGTTAGGTCTGAGCCTATGGTCAGAATTTCATGGAATATCCATGCCCATCTAAGTTCTCACACTACACCAAACAGGTAAACCTCTATATTTTTTCCTTATTACACTTAAAGGAGAATCTCCATTTCTTAGTAAATAATCACAATTGTTGACAATGGTTTTCTAAAAATTCAAAATATTTAAATCAGACTTTTAAAAATGTAGATGCTTTTGGAAAAAACATTCTTCTTAAAAATATCACTTATATTTCAAAGCAAGTTTATTATTTTATTTTTTTGTACCAAGGACTGAACCCATGGGTGTTTTATCACTGAACTACATTCCCAGCCCTTTTTTATTTTTTATTTTAAGACAGGGTCTCCCTAAGTTGCTTAGGCTGGCTTTGAACTTGTGATCCTCCTGCCTCAGCCTCTTGAGTCACTGGGATTAAAGGCATGTTCTACCACACACTGGCCAAAGCAAGTTTATTTTTAAAAATAGGTACATAGACAGGATACTTATCTAAAACTCTGAGGAAATATAGTAAAAATGTATATCTTTGATGAGACTGTTAATAAGCTGAGAGGGTTAGTGTGAAGATTATAAAGCTAATCAATCTACTTCTCTGCTTTGTGAGCTTCTTTCTTCCAGATCTGAACATCTTAACTTAGGGATTTAAAAATATGTTCATGATATGAAAATTCCTGTTTAAAGATGCAATCATTTACTTATAGAGGCTCAGAAAAATCAAGCCATATAAAATAAGTTTATGTGAACAGAAACAATCAAAACTTCCAAAAAGATGTGAAATTTCAGCTTACTACTATGCTTGACTGAAAAAGACTGTCCCCTGGTAATAAATGATGGCTTTTCCCAGTTTGTCTTAATTCCATTAATATAAGAAAGTGATTAGATCAAAGAGTATTGGTGACACTGTGAATACAATTTTGATACTAATATGGCATTAGCCATAATTGCATATTGCATAAACCCTACAAATAACAAGCATTTTCCTTCACAGAATATGTAATCTTGTAGCCTTAACTCTAAAATGTTAATATATATCCTCCTTTAATTACACGAACATAATAACAGAACTTTTTAAAAACTTCACTCATTCTTTGCAGTAGTAGAAATGTTAGGTAAGTGCTCCACCACTGAGTTGCATCCCCAGCCCTTTTTAAATATTATTTTGAGACAGCATCTAAATTGCCCAGGCTAGCCTCAAATTTGTGATCCTCCAGCTTCATCCCTCCCAGTATCTGGAATTACAGGAATGTGCCACCATGCCTGGCTTTTTGGCAACTTTAAATCTATAGAATTTAATCAACATTAACAGAATTAAGTTATACCAGTATCGAAAACTTCTGCATTATCTATAATGGAATCCAATTTTTATTAAAATGGCATTGGCTACCAATAATGCCATTGCACTATTAAGAAAAAAATGGCAAGGTATCAAAACTTCTACCCTCAAATGATATTTTTAAACTATTATAAATAGCCTGAGTGTATCACCCAGATTAATAAAAGACATATGACTATTCAAGATGGGATTTTTAAAATGAAAGTGGTTGAATAGCATTTTAGTCAATGGAAATATCCCAAATGTTTAATGTATGTTTTTTTTGGTACCAGGGATTGAACTCAGGGCCACTTGACCACTGAGCCACATCCTGAGCCCTATTTTGTATTTTATTTAGAGACAAGGTCTCAATGAGTTGCTTAGTGCCTCAGTATTGCTGAGGGGTGGGGGGGGGCTTTGAACTTGTGATCCTCCTGTCTCAGCCTCCCAAGCTGCTGGGATTACAGGTGTGCACCACCATGCCCAGCAATATTTCTTATTTTGTGAGACACACATGGTCTGGCATGAGAACATATATGCACATACATGTATATGACAACACTCTAATAAAAAAGTGATTAATGTCTTGCTGTTCATGCAGCTTGCAGGCAGTTAGTTATGAAAGTATATCAGACACATCCTATTTAAGGCATGAAGCTCTTAATTCTGATCTTTAAAAGCTTGTGTTAATTTATGAAGCTAATGGCATAGTATACTATGACAGTGGAGAATCCTATAGACATAGTTATGATGCCACTAACCAGCACTTATTCTAGGACAGATATAATGCACTTAGTGGACCTCCTGTTATTACAGTTACAAGGTAACACATGTCTCTACACATTTCAAGTGGCATAAAGATGACCCTGAGTTGTTTTTTAAAATTTGGTCAATAAATGGCTCTAGAAGGAGGTATAATAGTCCTGAAATTTTGGGTATGTAAAATTTTATATGTATAGATCCATACATGTGTACTTTTCTAAGGAAGAATACTTATTTTCATTAGACTTATAAAGTGTTTGCGCCTGTGATCCCACAAAAGATCATAAATTGCTATAGTTCATTTCTGTAGTAAATATATCAAGGACAAGAACTTTTTAATATTAAGGCATACCACCTCAAAACAAAAACCTTCATTTGAAGGATACATAAGTAAAAATCAGTGCTTTGCAGGGAGAGGGAGAATGATAATATACATGCAGAAAAAATTTCTTATTTGTCAAATCTTAATTAACAAGAAAAAGGTGTGAATAGTTGTATGTTAAAATTGGGGGCTGGAGTTCTATCGCAGTGGTAGAGTGCTTGCCTAGCATGTGTGAGGCACCGGGTTCGATTCTCAGCACCATGTAAAAATAAATAAAATAAATGTGTCCATCTACAACTCTCTTAATTATTTGCCTTATAGACAAATGAGAAAAAAGGGAGAAATCTAGTTTTCAACTTCTAGTATATAGTTACCTGCCAAAACAATGTTTAGAAATGCCATAGTAAATAAGTTTTTTGTTTTTTTTTTTTTAGTAACCTGGGATTTTTGCTTCCAATAGTATGTTACTGCATATACTAGGGATATTTGTCACTATCTCCAAAATTTGGGAGAAGCAAACAGTACTTAGTTCATTCATATTCTAATTAAATACAGTTCACTTATGTGTTGAACCTTTGATATTTGCTGAGAACAGAAAGGAACATCTTTTCCTCTACTGAAAACTGCTAGCAAAACTGTTCTACTGCCTGCAAAGAGACAGAATATCTACCTTAAATGACCAAACCTAAAGGACCTTCATTATTTAAGGGTAATTCTGTGAAGCAATTTTTGCAGATTGAATGTAGGATGGACAGGTACAACATTAATAGGCACTGACATACAGGCTGAGAACACCCTCATGAATCTCTATTTTCAGCATGGAATATTAACATAGTTACATGATTAAAACTGAAAGTGAGCAGTCTCTCAAAGTTAGAAAAGCAACCTAACAAGAAGACTTTTATTTTTTTTAAGTTGTCGATAGACCTTTTTATTTTATTTATTTACATGTGGTGCTGAGAATTGAACCCAGCAACCCCAGCCCAAGACTGACTTTTTGATAGATGGTTTCTTTCTTTTTTTTGAACCTACAGCGCTTAACCACTGAGCCACATGACCAGGCTTTTTTTTTTTTTTTTTAATATTTTATTTAGAGACAGGGTCTCACTGAGTTGCTAAGTGCTTTGCTAATCTGCTGAGACTGGCTTTGAACTCACGATTCTCCTGCCTCAGCCTCTTGAGTTGCTGGGAATACAGGCATGTGCCACTGCACCTGGCTGATATATGGTTTCTATATCTAGCCTCTTTCCTTTATTTGATGATACTGGGGATTGAACTCAGGGGCACTCTATAGTACTCAACCCTTTTTATTACTAGACAGGGTCTTACTGCATTGCCCAGCCTGGCCTTGAACTTGTAATCCTCCTGCTTCAGCTTCCTAAATTTTGGGTATTATAGAAGTTTACCACTGTATCCAACTATATCTACTTTCAAATGTCTTGGGATAGCTGGTTGTATAGCAAAATCTTTTAATTACTTTCTGTTACTGTTGAAGAATAAAATATTGTACCTTTTAGTCAGCAGATAACACAAATAAAGAATGTTAAATTGAAGTATAAAGTAAACTCTATAATAATGCCTTATAGCACTATCCCCGATGGCAAAATATTTTTGGAAATTACTGAGTGGTACAACTTCCACACAAATCTCTGGAGTAGAGTTCAGAAAGCTGCACCAACAGTGCTCATTGAAGAGAAATTTTTTTTCACAAAATTGACTTTTTCTTTTAAAGCAAGGCCTTAGAAGACCCAAAGGACATTCTAGGACCTCCAATTAGAAATAATCAGCTGGGATTCTACTAAATAAACTCTCTAGGTGAAAGGCTATCTGCTCAGAGAGTCATAGAACCTGACTATGGCCCAGCCATTACTGAAGCTATGACAATAAGACCATTACTTGCTATAATCTCTAAAAGGCAAGGTTGCTTTGGATTGTGTTGAAGGACACTCTGAAAATTATAAACTGTACAGAAAGTGATAGTCCAGGGGTAAAATCTGCAATTTTTTCCCAAAGACTAGGCTTGGGCAATAATGAATAAATAGGTCACAAACTATTTTTCAAAATTAAAAGCAGCAGAGATAAAGATGGCCCATTTAATGTTCTGAGATCAAGACAATACAGTTTAAGATGGGTCCTGCAGTACCTGGTACTTTTATTAAAAAATGATTTTGCTTTGTAGAATGAGATACAAATTGTTATTCAATGGAGAAATATAGAAAAGCAGGCACTTAATTAAATTTTAGTGGTAGCAATTCTGTGGTTAGCTTTCAGAAGACAGGGTTCAGTATAAATTTAGTGGTGACTAAACCAGAAAAGAAAAAAAGAATCAGCTGATTTACAAAGAATGGTATTACCCTAAGTAGCCCCTTGAGATCTGGCACCTTACCCAAGCCTTTCCTTGCTCTCTTCTGGTGTCAGCTGATCAAAGGTCTTTGCTTCTTCAGCACCCAAGAAGGCATCGTGATCATAATCAAAACTCTGAGCATCATTGTGAACTTTGTCGCTAAGTTGAGGCTCATGATGTACACGGTCCTTCTTTTCTGTGGGTTTGCTCAAGGCAAAGGCTGTGCACAGGGACAAGCACATAAGGAACTGTCGCAGGTCCATGATAATCGGATCTTAAGAAAACAAAAGGCAGTTGATAAAGGAGACAATAAGTTAACAATTAAACAAGAAAACATTCATGTACCAGTTAAATTTTTAATATACATACAAGTCTATGCAAGTCAGTTATATTACCCAAGTATTTTATTTAATCCACACAATAAATATAGAAGATTATTGAAATCTCAAGATTATGATGGTGGGAAATTTTTACCAGTGTTCTTCATCGATTTTAAGTTGATAAGGAATTTATAGCTAAAATCTTTTTGTAAGTAGTGTCTCTATAAAAGACATCAAAATAGAACTTTAATCCTTTTGTCTGAGTTGATAACAGTTTAAAGTCATAGGACCAAGATTTAAATCCTGACTCCAAATCCTTAATTTTTTTATACTATATTAGTGGTATGGTCTTCAAACTTGGCTGGTTATTAGTCACTTAGGAAGCGTTTTTAAGTAAGTTTCCCCATTGATTTAGAATCTCCGAAGTTGCATCTGTATATTTAAATGCTTCTCCCATGATTCTGATGACCATCCCATTAGGAACTAATGAAATATTGAATAGTTTCCTTGTTCTATAACACCAATTTTTTCAAGTCCCAGTTCAACCCTGAATCACCATCAAAAACCAAACCAGTTAGATGGTCCTGTCATAAGAACTTCTTTATCCCTTTGTACAGTTGGGTTTCTCAAACTTGCTCAAACATAAGAATCACAAGGAGTACTATTCAAATACAGATTCCCAGGCTCTTCTCCAGACCTCCACACTGCTGCTCTGTAATCACAGGGAACTTCATGAACAAGCACAAAGCTGGAACATTTTATTGAAAAAATGTGATTAAAAATCTGCAGAAAAGCTTTGAGTTAAATACCTGTTTAGCACACTCTATAGATATCCCACAGTAATGTCCAGAGGTTAAGGCCATAGAGGTAAAAACAAACAAAAAACTTAAAATTTAAAAACCAAGGGGAAAGGTTTTCCTAGGCTTTCATTTAAAGAAAAAAATTTTAGTTGTCGATGGACATTTATTTATTTATTTATACGCAGTACCTAGAATTAAACCCAGTACCTCACACATACCAGGCAAGGCTCTACCACTGAGCCACAAACCAGCCCCTAGGTTTTCATTTTTAAATTAATCTTCCATCAGTGGAACATGGACTTTGAATGTTCCTGCCCCCAGTGAGAATAAGTTTTTGCAATTTCACATTATTGCTCACTCATCTCCCATTATGCCTAATCCCTGGTACCTTTGACTGACTTTATTTGGAAGTAGAGGATTTTTGCAGATGTAATCAAGTTAAAATGAAGTCATGTTACTCTAGAGTGGGCTCTAATCCAAAGACTGGAGTCCTTATTAGACAATAATTTGAACACAGACACACTGAATGAGAGTGCCATATACTGAAAGAGGAAGAGATTGAAGTGATGAATCTACATGTCAAGAAATGCCAAAGACTGTTAATAGCAGAAGCCAGGATTAGCTATGGAAGGATCCTCCCCTAAAGTCTTCAGAGATTATGGTCCTGCCCACACCTATGACTTTGAACTTTTAGCCTCCAGAACTGAACAACAATAAAATTCTATTCTTTTAATTCACTCAAGTTTGTAACAGTTTGTTACAGCAGCCCTAGGAAACTAATAGAAGGCTACAGTACACAGGGATCCTGTACTACAGGAGAGTTAAATGAATTACACCCCGTCCTAATCAGCATTTTAAACCAGTCACAGATTTCACCTTCCTCAGGATGTCACTAATGGACCTAGCTAGTCTAAGCATTCACAGTTTCTATGTAAATACTGATAAAAATTTAAAAATTCTTTCAGCATAACTTCTACAAGTTCTCAATTCAGAATCCCTATAAAATTCCTTATCTTGATCCTGTCTCAAAGTTTTGGGAACCAGAATGAAGGAAGTGAATTGAGTCAGGGAATAAGGAAATCAAACATCCCAATATATTACACACCTTTCAATGTAAGTCCATTTTTCTTGTAAGTCCCAATTAATAGCTAAAAACGTAGGTTATATTAACTTGGATTTATACAGCCCTTTGAATTAAAAAAAAAAAAAGCCCAGTACAGCTAAAGGTGAATATGTTATATAAATATCCTATAAAAAGGAAAGCAAATAGAGAAATAAGTTTAATTGCCACACAACCTATAGTGCTGACTATATAGAAAGACACAAGCTGAGGCCTCCATGAACATCTTCCAGGCTATGAAAGAGCACAAAGGGCACAGGATACAATCACTGGGAAAGCAGGGGAAGGGAGAAGTCCTGGACTGATAGAGGATACAGCATCAGAGTAGAAAGCATTACAGAGTAAATAGATCAGCGCCAATAAAATGAAAAGAAATATAGCTAAAGGACTGGGATTGTACAGTTCTTGCCTAGCATCGTGTGAGGCACTGGGTTTGAATCTCAGCACCACATATAAATAAATAAAATAAAGGTCCACTGACAATTAAAAAATATTTTTAAAAAAGAAAAAAAGAGAGCTGGGGTTGTGGTTCAGCGGTGGAGCACTGCCTGGCATGTGGGGGGCCCTGGGTTCGATCCTTAGCACCACATAAAAATTAATAAAATAAAGACATTGTGTCCAACTACAACTAAAAAATAAATACAAAGGAAAAAGAAAAAAAGAAAGGTAGCTAAGGAGGTAATCAGGGGTGGTTACTCCCTAAGCACCCATTCTCAAAAGAGATGGTTAGGCTGGGGTTGTGGCTCAGTGGTAGAGCGCTTATCTGGCATGTGTGAGACACTGGGTTCTATCCCCAGTACCACATAAAAAAAATAAAGTTATTGTGTCTATCTACAACTAAAAATATTAAAAACAAAAAAAAGAACCTGTTACCCAATGATGTGATAATTAAGACTGATGAAAATCCATCAGAGGAAGCAAGGAGAAAGCAAGATCACGAGATCCATAGAGAAAGGGGGTAGAAAGTGTTATCTTTCTTATACTGCTCCCACCAATGTTAGATTTGGTTATACTTCTGAAACTTCCTCAACATTTTCATTCCATTCCATCAAAACACACAAATTGTACAAAGATACCATAAGAAGATGTTCAATGATGACAGCTTGTTTTTTGTTTTAATTTTTGGGTACTGGCGATTGAATTTAGGGTGCTTTACCACTTAACCACAGCTACTGACCTCTTAATTTATTTTGGGATGGGGTCTTGCAAAGTTTTCCAGGCTAGCATTGAACGTGTGATTCTCCTCCCTCAGTCTCTCTGAGTAGCTGGGATTACAGGTGCATACCACGGCAACCAGCATGAGAATTTTTAGTTATTAAAATAATTGGAGAGTTGCACAGAAGATGGAAGTAGAACCTCATTGTTATACAGAATACATATATGATGTTGTAATGAGAAAAAGAAAAAAAAAAGTGTGTCACATTACATTGGATAGAGAGAAAGGATGGGAGAGGAGGGGAGGAGTAGGGAGGATAGGAAGGGCAGCAGAATAGAATAGACAATATGATTGATGTATGTACATTCCATGTATGTATTATATATCAAAATGCATTCTACTGTCATTATGACTAAAAAAATAAATAAATAAAAGTTTAATAAAATAAAATAATTGGAAACAAGCTATACCAGAGAACTGGTAAGACATTAAATCTACATAAAGGAAAAGTACACAGAGTTTAAAAAGAATGAAGTGGATCTATCTTCAGTGAAAGAGCACTCACCAAGATACATTAAGTATAAAAAGCAATTTAAAAAATAATGTCAAGATCTCTCTTTTTGGAGGGTGGAAGTGGAGGTGGAGGAAGGTACTGGGGATTAAACCCAGGGGCACTCAACTACTGAGTCATACACCCAGCCCTTTTTATATTTTATTTTGAGAAAGCATCTGGCTGAGTTGCTTAAGGCCTTGCTAAGTTGCTAAGGGTGCCTTTAAACTCTCGATCTTCCTGCCTCAGCCTCCTGAGCCACTGGGATTACAGGTATGTGCCACAGCGCTCAGCTCAAGATATCATTTTAAAAGCAAAAAAAAAGTAAAGAGTCTCCCCAGGTTGTTTAAATATATATAAAATATAACACACACAAGAAAATGGGGTGGTCAAATAAACACCCACGTGTAAACAGTAGTAATCTCTAGGCTCAAGGGAAAAGACACAGGAGTGCAGTGGGTCAGTGAGACCACTATGGAAGTGAACTTTAGTGCACATTTAATTTTTGTAAATAAGCACTCTCTCATATGTATTACCTTTTAATTTAAACATTAAAAAAATCTTTTCAATAGTAGGTGGCAAAACAGATATTTTCAAGCTGTATTTCAAAAGATTAAAGGAAAAATGCATATCTATCTTTGAAACATAAGAAAAAAATTTTTTTAAGTAAAAAATTGGTCAAGGCAAATAACATTTCAGCTGACCCTTCAATAATTTAGTCTATCAGTTACATCAGTTGAACAGTACAGAGAAAATCAGAGACTTAGTGGCTCTTTTAAATTCAACATCAAAGTTGGCTATTAGAATCTATTTTAAGATAAAATGAAATTTCTACCCAAAACTAAATAATTCTTTAGATAAATACAATTTTATGAACTGAGGAACAGGATATGTTGTTGATGTTGGTAACATGATCAAGCAATAGCTATGCCAGAAGCTTACAGAGGCAAGTAAAATCAGGAGTCACTGTAACAAGGGATTTCCCTTATGACTACTAATAAGGGAACTTCACGTTTAGAAAAATGTTGAAAGTGGTTAAATATGTCTTTAGAATAAAATACAGCATAATACCCTAACAACTCTTGCAAACCCCAAATATTCCAAAATGAATAAATGGCTAAACACTTGGGTCCTGGAAAGAGTAGAAACTGTACAGTTTGGAGACATGTAGCATACAGAAATACAACAAATTGATTCACTTTGTGATTTAGAGGGAATACTACATTTATGTCTGACTTAATATTTTGATACAAGAACATAAGAATCCCAAAGACAATAAAGACCTGGCTTTATCATGTATTCATTTTTCTTTCCTTCTACTCTCTTAATTTTGCCATCCCCACTTCCCTACAGGCTCCCACATTTCATTAATCAACACTTCTCAAGTCTCTACCATCCCAAATCAGTCTTTCCCAGACTGTTATTTCTTCCAGCTTGCTTTCACATACCCACAGGCGTGTACACTGCTGCCTCTGCTTCAACATCCACCATCACCTAAAATCTGGCTTTCTATCTTACCACTGATGAAACTGCCAAAAAAATTCATCAAGGACCACCTGACGGACAAGGCCAATGGTCCTACCTAATCTTCACCTCTCTGCAATAAGCAATGCAAAAATCTGCACTTTAAATAACTTCTATTTGAGGGGGAAAAAGCTCTTTGTGCCCACATATACCAGCTCCTGACTATGAGACTCTCTAACAAAAGGCCTCTTGTTTTATGAATATAGACACACAAAAATAGAAAATCCATATACATATAAAATTTCAAGTAGAAACAAAGGATATCCTTATAAGACAAAGGATATTTTATGTGGGAAAAAATGAAAAGCAGCAGCATAAGTTTTTCATACAAGGCATATGAAGAACTACATTAATAGAGTTCATTTCTGAACCCGAATCTGAACTCTATCATTCTTTTTTTAACCACACTGAACTCAAAAGTTAGAAAGCTCCAAGCTAAAGGACCCTTCTCACTTCTCTACCGACTTCAGCACAGCTACACATCAAAAATTAACATATTAGAAAAATTTATGACATACAAATGAAAACTTAGCTGTATGAGCTCTAACATGTGATGTAGAAGGTAAACCAAGGGTTGTGAAAAATGAACCTCTCCTTCTCCCAATATCAAATATCCTATAAGTTTCTCTAAAATTCTGTCCCTCCTTTATCAACAGTAGTATCATGTATATACACACACACACACACACACATTTTTCACAGTATCACACACACACACACACACACACACACACACACACACACACTTTTCAGTATCAGGGATTGAACTCAGGGGTACTTGACCACTGAGCCACATCCCCAGGCCTATTTTTGTATTTCATTTAGAGACAGGGTCTCAATGAATTGTTTAGAACTTCGCCATTGCTGAGGCTGGCTTTGAACTCGAGATCCTCCTGTATCAGCCTCCCAAGCTGTTGGGATTATAGGTGTGAGCCACCACGCTCAGCAGCATCTAATATTTTTTTTTCTAAAAAAGAAAAAAATGTCTAGCCATTATCCACATGAATCCTAATACCTTACTTTATGTGGTTAATGCCACATTTATAGTGTTATATTTTATATCAAAAGTATACTATTTTATGTATTACACCACATAAAATGTATCAAAATTAATTCACCTGTTTAAAAATTTTCCTCTGAAAATTTAAAATGACACAGGTGTCTGGTATTATACTTCTACTGGACAGAACCATGTTACAGAGTTACAAACTAAAGGCCTAGAACAGAAAAGGTTATCAAGTAGCTAGCATCCTTTTGTAGTATGTCACCAATAATGGTCTTCTGCAAAGTTATTATCATGAATTATTTCAGTAATCTAAAGGAGAAAAGATTAATGACATAAGTTTGATTTTAATAACAATGAGTCATATGAAATCTATTTTATATATGCAAAAATTTCCTTGAAAGCTCTAAATTCTTACCTCTATCCCCATTCCTTCCTTCCTACTTTTGATTAAAAAAAAATCCATTGATCACAGAAAGTAGACTGTTTCAGGAAATTCAGATGTTTAAAATTAAATTCAACTTCTCAGGAATAAAAACAATAAGAGATCCCCCAATTACGGGTGACCATAGACCCATTGCTCAACTTTAATCAGTGGGAGAAATGGGTGTGGTGGTAAAATTCCAGTTCTCTGAGCTGGACATTCAGCAGAAAAGGCATTTCTCCATAATGTAGCCAAAATGGAATCTCACTGCTTAAGTGTCTACTTCAATTGGAGATTATGGTTAACAGCCTGACAGCAATTTACCTATACTCAACTGTACCAAGGCCTAGGTTATAAAATCTGAAAAAATAATGTCATCCTTCATAATTTGACAGGAGACATAACACTGACAAGCCACTTATTTAATATTTCTCTAGTGACAGTGAATTTATATTAGTTCATTAATACATTCTTATTAATTGTGGCAGTGGGAATTCATTTACAAGACTGCTAAGTATATAAAAGTACAAAATTTAGCTGTTGAAGGAAAATACCTGATAAGGAAACTAATGGTCCAAGCTTCATTAGTTCTATAATCAAAGCAACCCAGCAGAAACCTGAAATTTTTCTGGCTACAAAATCAAAAATTTTCTTGTAAGAAAAAAGTTCTAGAAATTCTGGAAGAAAAACGTCTCCTTTTGGTTGATGAAACTTTAATACATAATTAAGTATTATAAGAGTGCTATGCAAAATATAGAAACAAGAGATTTGATGTTTGTTAATTTTGTGTATTGGTAATACACATGAAATCTTCAGAACTTGGTAGTTATTTTAGCTCAACCTTTCTTCAGGGTCAAATGCCTATAAATTGTTTTAAAATTCTAGATGAAAAGACCTATTTACTATGATCACTCAAGCTGGAAGTGATCAGTACTAATTCTACATTTGTTTGTAGCACTCCATAATCATGATCACAGGCTACTTTAAGTTATCTCCTTAGTTCCCCTACAGATTCTACATATTTGGGAGAATTTCTTCATCTAGCTATTATAAATTTTTCTCCCTCTATAGTTTCTAATGCACTGTCTTGCACTTTTTAGATAACATTTTATCAGATTAAGTGGGTAGTACTGGGCAGTACTATGGTGCTGCCTGTTTGTGTTCTCCAACCCAATTCCCCTTACTGGATCTGGCTAAAAGCCAGCTACTTTCAAAAGTGTTATTTCAGCTGTCTTAACTCTAATACATAAATTGCAACATCAGCAACATCCATATTGAAAAGCTCAGAGAGAGAGGATCTAGGGCCTTTTTCTTTTTAGGGAGTACTGGAGATTGAACTCAGGGGCATTCAACCCCTGAGCCACAGTCTAACCCTATTTTGTATTTTATTTAGAGACAGAGTCCCACTGAGTTGCTTAGTGCTTCCCTGTTGCTGAGGCTGGCTTTGGCTTTGAATTCCCAATCCTCCTGCCTCAGTCTCCTGAGCTGCTGGGATTACAGGGGTGAGCTATCACTCCTGGCAGGATCTAGGGCCTTATATCCTAACAGGCATTTCTAATTGCTATTCCTGACTATACTGCTATCCCTCCAACATCCCTGGCATTTCCATGTTACAGAAAATCTGTAGTACCAATGTACAGATTGTGTGATAAATGCATAGATACTGCTACAGTAAGTATCTCTTGATACATTACTGGATGAATGGAAGCAAATGATGAGACATTGGTTTCAAAGCTCTACTGAGCACCATACACTCTAGAATACTCATTAGATTTTTGTAGTTTATGGCTCTCCTAGTTGTAATTCTAAGAAAAAGAAAATAGAAACCCTTGAATTGCTGAATACTCAGATCAGGCCTAGGGAAATCATTTTATCTACAAATACAATTCATAGATTATCTCTGATCCCTCATTTCAACTGTTCCACAAATTCTTCAGTGATGACTATTATTTGATACTTGGTTAGCTCATCTAATGAGGTAAAAAAATGCATTTGTCTTAGGTCAAGTTTCTTTCCATGGCAAACAGTAATTTATCAGAGATTCTGGGGTTCTCTACTCCCAAAGCTCAATAAAATACTAGAAAAAAAAAAACTAGATGCAACCTATTCACAATTCATTAACGTTGACTTTATGGTCCAACTTAGGAAGTGAAAGCATTTCAGTTCTCAAAACAAACAAACAAAAATCCACTTCTCGGGGACTATGTACACTAAGAAATTCAAACAAAAAGCCCAAAAATTTTAGCAGGAGATCCAGGAAGTTTTTTCCTTGATACAAAAGCAGCTTTCCAAACTTCAAACCACTCAACAACTCTTAATCATGGCAGCTGCAGGGAATTAAGTTTACTTCATAACACAGTATGATAAAGTCAGAACTGGGATCTAAGGTTGGAAGCAATAAAACAAGGTTAAAAAAAGAGCAATTCCTTAATAATGCGTTTAAGACCGTTCTTGTTGCTGACTCAACTATGCACCAAACACCGGAGCTCAAAAATTTCTGTTTTTCTTTGCAATTATATAAGATATTCTAAAAAAAAAAAAATCACGTAGGGTCTTCATTCGTAATTTCCACCCTCTTCCTACACCCTTTAAGTCAGCGAACACGACTTTCTTGGCAGAGGCACCCAACTCCCGGGATGTGGCCTTGGGGAGGGGCTGGCAGATCTAGGCTGGCGGGGGAGTGGGAGGTGGCAGGCAGCAGATTCAATAACCCTTCCTTACAGTTCTCCGACCTTCAGGAGGCAAACAAAAGTGACCCTCTAGTCCGAGGGTCAGGAACCCGAGGGCAAGGACACTGGCAAGCCAGGCACAAAACATTACCCAACAAGACATGAGTTAGGGAGCCAAAGTTTGACGCGACGCAGCACTCACAGCGTGCGGGAATGCTAGCTGGGAGTTCCATCCCAGGAGGAGCGCCTCGGGCCCTGGAATCCTGGAAAGGCTCAGGCCTGGACTCCGGCACTAGCAGAGACACGAGCTAAGAATGAAAAAAATGCCCACGCCTCTCCAGTAGCAAGGCTCTAGGACAGAAAGAAAGCGATAAGGACACGGCGGCGGCAGAAGGCTTGAGCACCACGATACCTACCTTTCTCGCAGCCTCACAGCCCAAGTCACGGTGGCCGCGGTTCACCCACCGGCTCAGCTCACACGCGAAAGCACCGCCCAACCGGAAGCGAGTCTGCGCCCCGCCCTCATCCGCCTCGCCGCGGCTTCCCAACCAATCATCAACAAGCCCCCCGTCGACGCAGAGCTTTCCCGAGTAGCCATTGGCCCCACAATTGCGTAGCCCGGATAGGCTGGAAAGCGCCACGTCCCCGCGAGCGCGCCGAGTTGCGTGGAGCTGATTCCCGCCCAAGTCTAGTCCCTGGACCTGCTGCAGGCCCCAGCCTGGTGCTTGGGCGGCGTGTAGGCGCGGCTGTCCGGACGCCACGTCCCCATTCATAGCGCGTGACTCTGCCTCCACAGGATGTCTGGAATTACCTTGCTAGTAATCTTCATGCCCACAAGACCGTAAATCCGTTTTTTACGGTCACCGCCATTACAATGGTGAACAGTCTCAATCTCTTACCCTTAAACCTTGCTGCCCAGACGTGGCATCTAGTGGAAGCTCTTCTCTCTGGCTATCCTGTATCTTTTAGCTTTGTCTCCCACCACGCCCCTTCACTTATAGTGCTCTGGCCACCATCGTCTAGTCTTTCCTTAACTACTTGTCCTTTCACATTTCTGTGATCTTTGTTCACCAAGCGTCTTCCTTTGCCTGGAATAAATTCATTTTCTTAATTTTCTGTTTGTGAAGGCCAGTAGAAGTCCCAGTTCAGTTGTTAGCTCTAGAAACCTTTCCTGACCCCACTAAGCATAATAACACTTATTTGCCTTCATAGCACTTTGTATCTTCAGTACACTACCAAATTTTATTGTATAACATTGCTTATCTATAATAACTTACTCTGGGAAACGACTAAGTTCCCCAAATAACTTCCAGAGTAGAGATCTGCCTATTCTTTGTATTTACAGCCCTGAGCTTACTGCCCAGGTCCGAGAAATTGCTCAGTAATACAAATTAAACTGAAGAAGTAGACTTCATTGTGTATCCCTGGTTTAGGAGAAACACAGGATATAACTCACTTGTTCATTTTAGTGTCATGAATTGAAACAAATACCGATGAAGCGTACTCTATTTTCTACACTACTGGACTGCATACCTAAATTCTTAACATAAAGCCTCTATAGTTTAAAATTCAGTTAAGAGAAGTAGTAAGTTCATGAAACATTTAAATGCAAAGCAAGTTAGTTTAAAGTGCCAAGATGAAAGACTGACAACTAATGCTCTGGGTATTCAAATAAAGGAGTGCCAGTGACCCTTGGTGGTAGCCGGAGAGGGATTCATAGGAAGGTGTGACTCAGGCTAGACTAAGAAAATCCCAAATGGACTAGTCAGCAAAAGGAATAGCAAAAATAAAAGCAAGTGGGGAAGCAGAGCAGAGGGTAAATTCTCAGGCCAGGTAGGGACTGAGAAAGGTTAAGAGAGGAAGCCATGCAGAAAAACATAGGTGCATGGAGGTCTTGATAGTCTGAGGACACTAAGCTGAAGGCAATGGGAATTGTGAGTCTCCTTTGGAAGTTTTCTAAAGTTGTGCCTATGTGGGGGCCCTGTGGAATGAGATTGAGAGTGGTTCTCTCAGACAGGCACATCTTCAAATAGGGATTGACTATAAAACAGGAGGTATTACTTAAAAAACTTTTTTAAAATGCCACCTGAAGTCAGGTACTGTGCTAGGTACTGGTGGATGCACAATGAAGGGGACATCATCCCAGCCCTCAAGAAACTACAGCCAAGTGGGAGAATCACCACTCTGGAAGTGTCATAGTGAAGGCTGAACAGGTAGTGAGATTCTGCTAGAGATACAGCCCTCAAACCTTGACATTCCCTGTGGATAGGGACCTGTCCTGGCAAGGAAAAGGAAACAGAAATGAAACCTTTATGCCAGATATATATACGTATATCTGGATTTGAACCCAGGGGCTAAGCAACATCCCCATCCCTTTTATGTATTTTATTTAAAGACAGGGTATCACTGAGTCTCTAAGTGCCATGCTATGTTGCTGAGGCTGACTTTTATTTTATTTTATTTTTTATTGGTTGTTCACAACATTACAAAGCTCTTGACATATCATATTTCATACATTAGATTCAAGTGGGTTATGAACTCCCAATTTTTTACCCCAAATGCAGATTGCAGAATCACGTCGGTTACACATCCACAATTTTACATAATGCCATATTAATGACTATTGTATTCTGCTACCTTTCCTATCCTCTACTATCCCCCCTCTCCTCCCCTCCCATCTTCTCTCTCTACCCCATCTACTGTAATTCATTTCTCTCCTTGTTTATTTTCCCATTCCACTCACAACCTCTTATATGTAATTTTGTATAGCAATGATGGTCTCCCTTCATTTCCATGCAATTTCCCTTTTCTCTCCCTTTCCCTCTCATCTCATGTCTCTGTTTAATCTTTTCTTCCTGCTCTTCCTCCCTGCTCTGTTCTTAGTTGCTCTCATTATATCAAAGAAGACATTTGGTATTTGTTTTTTAGGGATTGGCTAGCTTCACTAAGCAT